GCCTGGGCAAGCCCAGCCACCATGGCCAGGCCTGTCCCAGTCTCATTTGTCACGTCCTGGCACTGTGGCCTCTCTCATCCTGGCCCCCTCCCATGTGCTATGTACCCCCTTCCCACTGCAGCCCCGTGGCTCTAGCAATTGAATTTGCTTGAAACAGATGCCACCACTCCCTGGCAGCTCAGGATTAAGAATGCTGCCATGAGGTGCCAAATCTAGACACTCATTAATTGATGCTTTGGGTTTCCTTAGTCTCTTGTGTTAAGTCTTGCTTGCTATAACCTTTGTCCAATATCCTGTTCAGGTTGGGCAATAGAATTAGACATCACTTTGTCTAACTACCTTGTAACTTCATTTTATTTCTCATGGTGCAAATAAAGAGGCTACTCCCACTATTTATTCAGTCTAAATGTACTTCTGCCCTATTCCTCCAGAGCAGATTATTTCCACTGGACTAGATTCAAATTAATTCCTGTTTTGATGCTGTTTCCTGAGGTGCCCACACTGTCTGATAATAAATGGTGTTTCTTATAGCACTGCTTACTGGTTTGCTTTTTTTTCCCAACATAAGAATATCATATTTGTAAATATTTTATTACTCTTACTATTAAGTTCTGCTGTGTTATTTTTTCTACAGAGCCTCTCAAAAAACAAGCATAACACAAAGGTGCCTTGCTGGGAAAGTTGCCCACCAAAGAGAGCACAAACATGGTTCTGTCTTCCTGGGGGCTTTGTCAAATTATGCTGACCCATCCAACATAGGAAAACACTTGTTGAAAAACGCAGTGTTGAAAAACACTATCCTCCAATGCTTCACCCTTAACAGAAGGCAAGAATTTCTTATTTTCTAATCCTAAATACAAAATCTTTTTGTATCCACTGCTTGCAGAGAATTATGTCCCAGAAATTTTTCAAATCACTGCGCAATAACCTTATACACTTCCTTCTTTGGGCTTTGTTCTACACTAACTGATTTTCAGATCAGGAAATCCTTCCAGAACTTTGTTGTTCTGGATGGGTTAGCACTTTCAGTCAGCAGCTCTCTTCTTAATTTTCCATTCTTGCTCTGAATATTAATTGCCGTCACATTCTACACAAAGTGCAGAACCGTAGTGTTATTCCACTCAAAACTCACAGCAATCTTACTCAGCAGGAACTGACTTTGAATGATTACAAGAAACACAGACTTTACAACTAGTAACTTTCACTATATAAGACTCTAGCTCTGCATATAAGTTGTGTTCAGACTGCCTTTGCACTTAGAGAATGTTTGGTTTTTGCACACATTTCAGATTTATTTTTCTCTGTGTGTGTGTGTGTGTGTCAGGGTGTGTATGTGTGCATGTGTGATATAAGGTAATCAATGGTGGCTCTATTTTAAGTGTGTGCAACAAATTTTTTGCTCTCTGTCCCATTCCAGAGCACTGAGGATAGAAGCATTTGACCCAGACTGCCAGTTTGAAGCTCAAGCTTAAAGACCTCAAGTACACACTTCCTGGCTGATCTCATTGCTCATATATTGAGCTCAGACTTGGCTGGAATCTGGAATTGGAAACCAAGGGAAGCACTTGCATCTTGCTTCTGCAGACAGTTTAGACTGGATGAGCTTACGCCAAATGAAATTGCAAGCAACTCACATTCTGGCACAGTTTAATTAAGAAACTGAAGATGAAAAAATCCAACACAAATTCTCTCTGAGAAACTCTTGCCTTTTAGGCATAATTCCCAGTAACAAACTGTGCAGCCCAGGGTACAGGAACATGTGGGTTTAAAGATGTCTGCGTAGTTCTCACTGTTCTTAGCAGGAGAGCTTGTTTTCATAGGCGCAAACTGACATAAATTAAAATGATGTCATTAAGTCACTGTACTGAATATGTCATTGATTCAAGGTTAGGTAGGGACAAAGGAAGCTGACTGTAAAAAATAGACAGTAGATTCCAATTCAATTGAATCAGACCCATAAATAATTTTATCATAAACTTTACTTCATGCAAAGTTCTTAAAAATTTATCCACTTGTTCCTCCTTCCTTAATACCTGTATATTTTTCAACTTGTCCCATTGTGATGAAACCATAACTGGGTGTGCATGTATACATTATATACTTGTCTGTGTGTACATAAATATATCTGTTTGAAAAAACACACTAAGCTCAAATGCTAAATTGGACTTACCCCCCAAAGATGGATCTAGCCTTGAAAAATCTTTTTTTTTCCCCTCCTTGCTGTGAAACCTTTCAACTCCACATTAGGAAATACTGATTTATATACTTTTATATTGCTCAATCTCTCCAAGCAGGTCATTCTGTAAGATGGGAACAGCAGGATCCATCAAGAGATGACCCAATCCAGCCCTCTGCCTAAAGGTAGGATTATTAATGTTTCTCTCATTTTTCACAGATTGTTATCTAACCTGCCCTTTCAGACCACTAACAATGCCAGCTCAACCAATCAGCTCTACCTGATGTTTGAATTTTCTTCCTTTGTGTTTAACCTGAAACTTTCTTCCAGAATGTGGGACCCTGAGTTATCCTACAGACATGGGCATCACAGAATTTCTTTTTCCTTGTAAGAGCCTGTTATTGCATTGTATTAGTCTCCTTCACACAATTTTCTAGATGACATTAAATAACGTTCAGTATTCCTTCATTTTTCTAGAACTTCCTGTTGCTCTCCATTCCAGGTGCCCTTCAGCTAGGATATGCTCCTTGGAATGCAAAAAAACTAAATGTAGATATGGAAGTTTATGAAGAATTAATGAACTTTATTTTTAGCCCTCTACTGAGAGTAGTAGTTTTGTATTCTTCTGATACACAATGTATTTTCAGTTACATAAATACCTTGTTTGGAGTTTTATTTTATAATTGAAATATGGATAAATACTACAGGTAAGTAAAATTGTGATTTTAGCAGGGCTATGAATCATATAGAACTTCAGAGTAAGACCAAGTAAGAATATCACAATTACATTATATGATCAACCATAACTATAGGGAAATGGAAATGTTATTGGCTTAATTAACTGTGCTGATTCTAACAATAATTCTCTGTTTGTCTGCTTTCCTTCTACTAATACATAAATGCATCATAGAATGCATTTAAAGTTTAAATTGATGTATAAAGGTCAACTGGTCCAACTTCCCTGTCATAAGCAAGGATGTTTTCAACTAAATCCAGGTGCTCAGAACCCCATCCAACCTGGCCTCGAATGTTTCCAGAGGTGGTCATCAACCAGGTCTCTGAGAAATATGATCCAGCATTTCACAATCCTCATTGCAAAAATGTCTCCCTCATATCTAGTCCAAATCTCCCCTCTTCTAGGTAAAAGCACCTTGTCTTACCACTGCTGTTAAAATACTTGTCCCCTTTTTCCTTAAAGGCTCCCTCTTAGTACTGGAAGGCTGCTATAAGGTCTTCCCAGTCTTCTCTTCTCTCGACAGAACAAACTTTCATCTCTTAGCTTTTCCTCTCTGGAGAGGTTCTCCATTCCTCTGACTATTTTTGTGGTTCTCCTCTGGAGACATTGGCCAAGAGGTCAATGTCTTTTTTGTGCTGAGGACCCCAGAGCTGGACGCAGCACTGCAGGTGGGGTCTCACCAGAGCAGAGCAGCAGAATCTCCTCCCTCACCCTGCTGATGACATTGCTTTTGATGCAGCCAGGACACAATTGGCTTTCTGGGCTGGATGTGCACATTTCTGGGGCATGTTCAGCCTCTTATCCACCAGAATCCCCAAAACCTTATCGGCAGAGCTGCCCTCCATCTGTTCTTCCTGAAGTTTGTATTGATACTGGGATTTGCGCTGAATGAATATAAACTGCCTATAACGCATGGAATAATCATTCATCAGTCCAATAATTCCATATCACTACTTAGTGCAGCAAAATGGGAAGCTCATCTACTTAATTGAAAACCTCTATCAATATTAATTTTATCCAAAAGTAAAAAAATGTGTTATAAGAGGAAAGTATATTCTGGAAATCATTTATCTGTAGTCTTTATGAGCCAACTCTATTCCTACACTTTCCCAATACAAAAGTGCTGATACTAATGATTTTTTCTCTTCTGAAAATCTTTCCTGAAGAGAACCCTTCAACATTCCTCCATGTGTCATTCTGATGATGAAACAATTACATATTCAGTACAGTTTCCTCAATGAGGTTATACAAAAAAAGCCCTTATCAGTTTAAAGGCAGCAGAGAGTAGCGCATATATAAATCCTACTTTCTAAAACCTTTCTTGTCCAATAAAATACATCTAGAAAAAGTATACTGTGGGGTGTCTTTTACACAGTGAATGCAAGTAGGTGGGAGGCATAAAGCTGTTCCTGTTGCAAAGAGGGGAGAAGTGGTAGTGTAGCCAGCAATAATTAATGCATATCATAACTGAAAAGTTATGGATAAGAGAGAAAATCAAGGGGAATCCAAGGAAAGTATTTTTGAATTCATTGCAGCCCTCTCATGTTTCTTACAAAGCCCTGGCTTGCTGACTGTGGAGGAAAAGAAATGAGAATACTCTTTTTGTCTATGTCTCTAAACCAAAGGAATTAAAGGCTTCATACGGAGGAACAGTAATTTACTTTAGGTCCATTGTCACAGTTCCCAGATGAGAAACAATGATGACCTCAGGGAGCCAGCAGTGCCCCCTTAATTGTCTCTATGTTAGGTGTTTGAAATATAATGAAAATTAAAATTATAAGATTACGTCCCACTTTAAAACACATATTGATTCTTTAAAAATATGAGCAAAATTAAAGATGAATTTAAGAAAATTAGTTATGGCACAAAAAACACATTAGTATTTCCCAAATCATCATTTATGAAGAAAGGTGGTTATTTTGGCTGAGATGACAAATTACCTTTCCACAGGAGAAGGAAAAAAATAGTTTACAGTTCAAGCTGTAAAGTTATTAAACAAGATCTGACTGTACTAAGAAATGCACAATATATTAGAAAAGTCAATTTCTTAAATTAAATGGCAAATCAGCAAGTGGATGAAGGACTGACCTTGGATCGGGGTGGTGCTCGGATGTACCATTTACAGTCTACTGCTTCAGTTTCAGAAGCTTTTCCTTCTTTAACAATTTGTACAGACTCCACAATTCCTTCAGGTCCTCCCATCTCAAACTCACAAACTGAATAACAAAACACCAGAAAAAATGAAACCTGAACAGCAAACAAAAATGTTTTCTACAACAGAGTATAAAGGCCTCCAAGTTAGAAAAAACCCCAAAAACAACATACCAACCTGGCAATGGCTTCAAAACGCCAAGGTCCTTAAAATCTGGATCTTAAAAATAGAGAAAGACAAAATTAGTTTTGTTCGATATCTAGGATGTTATGCTAATATGTTCAAATTTTATAATGCGCTTTATTTATATAATTATACGTATACTTCTTGGAAATGGGAACTGTTTCAAAACTATGGCAACACAATAATTATTAGTGCAGAAATTATTGATGCCATCATACCAAGTCATTTTTTCTGTTATGAAATCCTGCTTTTTTCTGTCTCTCTCTTTCAGAAGGGTACAAAAATATTTCTGCATACATTAGCAAGTGAGAACATCACATAGCTAACCACATGACATTTTAATACATCAGCGTAGTGAAAGAAGATATATTTACAGATCCATTCAGAATCTTTTTGCCTGTTTTGCATTTTGAAAAATAACACTCAACTTAACTGGAGAAATCCAAACTTAATTCTGTGTTTATGAATACTTTGCCATCCCTACTGACCAAACAGAGACACTTTTTTTTTGTCAGAAGCATCCTTTTGGTCTTTTTGGAAAAAAATAACATAAGAATTACTGTTAGAAGTCATTGTAGGGACAAGTTAATAAGTCTAATATATGTACTATTTTCCATCAGATAAACATGATTATATTTACTATCTGAGAGGGCTTGTATCATGCCTTTAGAGTCGGGTGTAATACAGAGATGAAATGAGCTGGTCTTAGACAGATGTGCTTCAATAGACAACCATTCATATACAAATCATCATTTCACAAAATTTGGCTCAGTTTGAAGATACTGCCCAAAACCAGAAATATGGGAGGCTAAAGCAACTCAAAAAGTGATGTCTTAAAATAGACTGGTCTTATCTCGGAAATTTTTATCACTTGAACTGCTTTTCTACCTAAAATTAATGTTGTGCACTGTTTTTCTCATTTACACATGAAACTGATGTTGTTTCAGAACTGGGTCAGTGTAGAAAGAATTATAAATACAAAAAATGAAGAGAAGCTTTGGAAGAAGGAGATGTGTCAAATGAAAAAAATTAAACTCACAATCAAGACACAAAACCTGCTCTTTCCCTCTAGCCTTAGTCAATTAGGAACAGTAAGAATCGTAACCAGATAATATAACAAAGTATTTCAGTACTATATAAGCAAGATCAGCCATTTTAATCTGAACAGTCAAAATGTGTTGACTTCAAAATCTGGAGTTGTAAGATCGCTTTTTATATTGCCCCTCTATAACCAGGCTGCTGTTCTTCCCAAATTTCTTTTACAGTTGCACAAAATAAATAATGAGTAAATACTCGTGAACTTACAGGACTCCTAATCTAGCTGAGTAGGCAATTAGTATTAATTGTTGCATATTTTTAGAGATCAGTAGATAGATATGATTATCAGCAACACTAAAGGTGACCAAATAATTCAGCTAATGTACTGAGGATGCTGATATCTAGCTCTGAAAGTGAGGCACTGAAAGGAAATCTACTTTTACTTATGGTTTGAGTTACCATCCCGATATCCCATGTAACTATTGCATTTCTTCCTTTTACTGAGTTTGCAAGGATTACTCTGATTTACTGAGAACACTCCACCACATTAGTAAAGTATATATGAGGAAAGAAAGCAAAAACTGTCATGCCAGAATTTTCCCCATATGAGAGTTTTCATATAAAGCAATGTTAGTAGCAAGAATCCAGGCTGAAGTACAATCTAGACCATCTAATTTGACCCACAAAACAGCTCTGAAAGTATGTAATCATTTAACAATTCAGTAACATTGGAACAACACAAACAGAAATGCACAATCTGTTAACATTCTAGAAATATGATAGACCTGCTCAGTTTCAAAAAATAAATTTTTGCAAGTTCTCAACTTTCAAGAGTTTCAAGACTGAAAGGGAAATAAAATCTATGGAGTCTGAGGTGATAACCCTTCATTAAATATTGCTATTATACCAATACTACTATAATAAAAACAAAATCTGTAAATAAGGTATTATCTCACATGCTTAAAATTCATCCATGTTTGAGCATATTTAGCTAGCAAATATTTGCTTTTTAAATAGTGTCCCATTAAATGGATTAGATTTTAGAAGCTTGTCTGTATGTAATTCAATCAAATTGTTATTCTCAGTCTGGCTGGGTCAAAACATTAATGTTATATAAACACTGACTGGCCAGATTTTCCAATAGATCAAAATCATGTTCTTGTGAGAAAAACACCCAAAACTGGAAAACTTTTCTGTGAAAAATAAGATGGATCACCTATAAGTAGAGAAAAAATAAAAAACCAGAAGCAAAATGAGAAGCAATATGGAGCTGCTAGAGACAATCCAACAGAGGGTCATGTATTTTTTTATGGGACATATAAGGAGAGGCTGATAGAGTTGGGATAGGTCAGTCTGGAGAAGGGAAGGGTCAGAGGTGATCCCACCAATGTGTACAAAAACCTAATGGAGGGGCGCAAAGAGAATGAAGTCAGGCTCTTTTCAGTGGTATCCAGTGACAGAGCAAGGTGCAATGAGCACACATTGAATCACAGGAGGTTCCATCTGAGTATCAGGAAACACTTCTCCAATATGAGGTGACTCAGGACTACCGAGGCAGCCAAGAGGTTGTAGAGTCTCTATGCTTGGAGATATTCAAGGATATTCATTGCTGTCTAGACACGATCCTAGGCAAACATCTTGAGGTGACCCTGCTTGAAAAGGAGGTTGGACAAGTCAACCTCCAGAGATACCTTTGGAGACCAACCATTTTCTGATCCTCTGATTTTGTAGTAACTAAACAATAGACTTGGATAATAGTGAAATAGCCAATCAAAAGTCTAGTTCTGAGGTAGCAGCAGAAGTTACACAAATCTCCATCACAATGCAGACTTGGTTTTGTAGAATTTGCTCTGAGTTGCAGGAACACCTACAGGCCTGGTTTCAAAAAGCTCCACTAGGTCTTCATGGGAGGCTAACAAGACTTCGGATGCTAGCTTTGGAATCTATACTTTCCATGTAAACCATTCTACATGTCTTTATTTGTCATTTCACTGTTTCTATGCAGGAAGTCTGGCTCTTCTAAGCAGCTGGCAAACATGGAATTTAAATAGAAAAACAGGAGGCCAATTGTAAGGAGTTAGTGTACCTGATTCCTCAAAGATCTTATGAAATGAAGAAAATTTTAAAGTCAAAAGGCATTGTACATCAACTGAATTAAGTCTTCAAAAAGTATGTAAATGACCTTGTTTACAAGCACACTGCAGCATCTTATAAGGTTGCTCCGCTGAGGTATATCCACATAGAAATACATTTACCCACCCATGCATGCCTCATTCCATGTCACTTTCTTACACAGAAAGTGGAATTGTTTAAAATTATATTACGTGAATAAATTCTGTAAGACATAGAAGAAATGCATAAAGTTCAAACTAATTACTAGCAACATGATGTTCTGCTGGTAAGTATTCTTGCAAATCAATTTTAAAAGATCATATGTCAAATTAAAAATCCCACACTTACATGAAGATCATTCAACTTGTCTTCAAAGAGAGATGGCACAATGCTTTTAAAAGTAATGTTGTAATACAGAAAAATTAGAGTATTTTTACTGTTAAAAAGGCAAAATTTCCAAGTACATCTCTCACATTTTATTTTTCCTTAGCTTTTCATGTAAAATTCATCTGGGCACTTCTTACCCAGCAAACTTCAAACCTGCTGCTTTCACCGATAAAAAATGATAGATATCTCACTCTGGAAGTCAAAAGATACAAGTCAAAATTTTAATATCTCTTTTAAAAAATGGAAGATTGAGTTTATGTGTTCCTGATCATATCTGGGCTATAGTATACTTAATTACACGATTTTATTTTTTTAATATCTGAAGTGAAATACATACAGTAAAGAACACGAGCAATTGCTGTACAGTTAAAAGTCAAGAGGAAGGAAGTGTGTAATACAAAATTCTGGTGCTGAATAACTTTTGAAGTATTTTTCCTTTTTTCTTCCATAAATGAGGGGTGGAGGAATTATTTGAACTATTTGAATAAACCATACACTACAAAGTGTTGGTGTTTGAAACCTAAGGGGTTTTCTACCATTTGTGAATACAAAAAACTCCTTTCAAATGGATACATACAGAAAGTAGTCAAAATAGTTTGAAGCCATATTTCCTAATCAGAAGTAGGGAAACCGTCCACTTTTATTCAATGATCAGACAGCTGTAGATGTATCTTTTCACTTCTCTGTTTCTGACTAGAAATAGGTATTCAATTCCTATCCATCAATATTTAAGCAATTTTAACACTTGCACATGCTTTTTTTTCTGATAACTTAGTAGAGACCTGATTTGGCATCTAAATCTTCATAGAAAAGTAAAGAGAATTGACTATACAGCAAGCCACTAGTTATTTATCTGTAAGTTTACTAAATCAAGTTCTTTTACAATGATTTCTGGGAGCCTAAACCAGCCTTGTCCTATGGGGCTTGAGGCATAGTTCTCTATAAAAGCAGAGCTTGCACAGCTCAGTAGAGTAAAGTATGATTATTCTAAGGTATTTTATGTCATTGCCTCATAGTATTTGATGATAGAGTAAAAGTAATGGAAGAAGATGGACAAAAGATTTTAAAAGCATAAAAATCTTGTCAAAGAATTACGAATATAATTGTAAAATAGAAAATCATTTCTGTACGCAAATTTTTTTTGTGTGGTGTTCAAAGGAAACAGCTATTCTGCTGGGGAGAGTAAAGAAAAAGTAGCAAGAAAAAGAAAAGAAGTTAAGTTGCTATGAAAACCCTCACACACTATTTCTTATTAGCCTAAAATGAAATTTATTCCGATGGCTCCTTTCATATTTGTAGTCTTCTTGAAACTTCCATATATATTTCTAGATTTGTACTAATGATACCAAAAGGTGTTCAAAGAAAGCCTCTAATTTGCTAGACACTGTGGAAAGTTCTGTAGTAATTATAGCTGGCAATATTATGTGTTGTATTTGCTTTCTATTTTCTATGTTTTCTTTTTGAGGACAATATTGTGATCAATTGCAGCTCTTTTGAAA